TCTTGCCATCGCTCCAGCTGCTTCTGCATATTGCCAACTGTTCGTTCCTCCCATGCTGCGCACTGTTGGTTCAGGAATACCGTGTACTGGCCGCATCCGTAACGAGCAAAACGCCGGCGGATGGCCCATGGCTTGTCGGGAGGTGTGGCCAGTTGAATCTCCTCAATTTATATATATTTCTCAAGCTATTTGTAGAAACTGTTGAAGACTATAAGGTTGCAGGCAAGGCTGCTGACTTGCAATGGCTCATGAGGAAGAAGCAGGAGGAGGTGTGCACTAGCCCATCAAGCATTCGCCTTTGCCAACTTCTCTTTACCGGAACTAATGTTCACCGCTGTTATATTGGGAAAGCTGAAAGCTGCCTATATTTCCACTTTTGCGGGATGTGCAGCTGCCGATGCTTAACAATTTTGGTGGGGACACGTGCAAAGCATTCCGTGCAAAGTTCTATATGCAAAAGCTAAACATCGTGCTTGGCACGGAAAGAGGCGAAAGGGAACTGCAGCACTTGTGCCAAAGTTATCTGGAAGGACTCCAGTGGGTACGCAGCAACATGGGCTGCCTGGCTTGTAGCTCAGGCAAAGCTGAACGGTCTCCAGCACTGCAACCATGCAAGCCTCTTCAGCTTCTCATGTTCTGTGTGTGCACCAGGTTGCATACTACTACTTCCGAGGCCCGGACGCAAGTGGGTGGAGGTGGTTTTACTCTTACCACTACGCTCCCTTCTTGCGGGACGTGCTCGACTGCAACGTGTTCAGCCCGTCGATGGTTTCCAGAGGCGCAGGAGCAGGCAAACGCTGCGAGGACCTTTCGTATCTTTTAGACCGCACAATCGCATTGCCTAGCGGGGAGCCATATTCACCCTTCATGCAACTCTTGTCAATCTTGCCACCTCAGTGAGTAGGATGAGTCCGCTGCTCAGTTAGTCTCTCTCCGCTGGAGAGACTAACTGCCCACTGCCGTATTCACTTTCCCTTCCAGCCAAACATCACCTGCAAAAATGCCACTGAACTAGTCTGGTGACGCGCGCTCAGGTCGGCTGCATTACTACCTCCCCAGTTAAGCCACATCCTAACCCACCCTCCTCCAATGCTTGCACGTTTCTTCCCGAAGGATTTCGAAATCGACATGGAGGGTGTGAAGGTATGTAGTTGCTTGATCGGGGTTGATAGTTTCCACTCCGTAGATTGATGTGTTTGTGGGTATCTTCCAACTGGTGAACAAGTAACTCCAGGCCACCATATTCGACGGAGTTCTAGAGTTTTACGTTTTCTGCTGCCTAGTTAATTTGTAAGCAGCAGTGCCCATTGGGTGTCTCGGCTACCTTTCTGTTGCCGGGATGTTCTGCAGGTCCCGTG